ATCCGTACATCCAGCACTCACTTGGAGATTCGGCGGGCGTAGGTGTAATACAGAGGCAGCAAGTAGCGAACGTCTTGCACCGCGTAAGTCTTCATCCTCTGCGTCAGGGGCCTGAAAACAAGCATTCGTGCTAACCCTCTAAGCGTCAGCCATGAGTCCTAAATAGGACTCACAGCATTTTGAATTCTAAGCCCGAAAAAAGAAACCAGACACCTTGCGATACGCCATGGGCACGTACACTCGAACGAAATGCACTATTTCCTGGCACGCACAGCAAAGTATACCGCCCAACGCTCCAACCTGCGCCTCATCCCCTAAGCTTAAGGTGCCTAATCGTATGCTTGAGCCCCTATCTCTGCACAGCTGCAGTATAGCGCCACAGCCCAGACAAACTTTTAACCAGACACCCTGTGGCATACAGCCCTAAATCTGCGTCAGAAGAAGAAAACTGAACCGCCCAACTTTCCGTAAAAACTAAACTGCCCCCCCGCTGGTTACCTTTGGGACCAGTCGCATTTGCTCATGGCCACATCCTTTTGCACTCTGAATTCTACTTGGAGAACATTGCGCAACGAAAAGCCCCCCGGGATTCCCAGAAGTTTGGCGGCCTTTCCCGTATCAAACGCGTTGAGGATGAAGACGTTAAAGTCGCGCTGAGGTTAACACGCACGACATGTGCCATAACCTCGGATGGCTTGAGTTATATCCGCGCATGGGCGCAGGCGCTTAAGTGGACCGGGAACAGATGCAGTGCACGGTATGCACTTCGAAGTTTGGTCCGTTTTGGGGTTGCTGCCGTTCTTTATCCGGAACTGCCAGTGTATGCGCATGCACGCTGATGCTCGAAGTATTCATCATGTACATGTGCGCATGCATGTAAGAGCAGCTCAAGCCAACTGTCACGCTGCTGCCCCTGCAGCAGGATAAGTGGTGTATTGTTCGCACATTCGAGCTGCTGCATTCACGCCACAGTATCGACAGCTGCCACGTTCCTCGCGAATACCCTGACTGTAATGTTAATGTAACGCTTGCGCCTTTCAGAACCACATTCCACCCTATCTACTGCTCAAAGTTGTTCCATCTACCGTCAGTGGGCCGGCCAGTAGAATGCCTCACCCAATATTGCAGTGCAAGGGCAAATGTAAGGAATAGCTTCATAGCCGTAGAAATACCTTTCCTTGAAAAAAGACTCTTGTTCTATACTTGCTGCATTGACGAAAAATAACTCGATATCATTTCCGGTTCTTTCTACGGTGCTCTTCCCAGCGATTCAGATATAAGACCACAAACTCGAGAGCAAATCGTGGGAACCAACAGCGCAAAACCAAAGAAATTCTTACCAAAGTATAGTGAGGTAAAGCTCAAAAGATAGAGAGGTAGAGATCAAGAATTCTCTTGTCACCTGGCTTGATGCTTTCTCTATGAAAGGTAGGGCGGCCATGAAACGTCCTAGTTCACGTCGCGCACGCAGCCCAAAAATTCACGTTCATGTGTGTGTGTGTGTGTGTGTGTGTGTGTGTGTGTGTGTGTGTGTGTGTGTGTGTGTGCGTGTGCATGTGTGTGCGTGTGCGTGTGTATGTGTGTGTGTGTGCGTTCATGTGTGCGCGTGCATGCGCTTACCTGCAACCAGCCAACGTCATTTTCGCCGTTGTGCAAAACCTTGACAATAGCAGGGTTTGTAGTTATGACGTTCAGAAGGTGTA